ATGCCTCTCACCACCCTCTCATTTTGCTAGATTTTTTTTTTTTTTTTTTTTTTTTGAGATTGCCCCCTCGACCAACTGGCCAATAAACCCAGATGCAGCCCTGACCACTGCAGCTCTCCCACTCATAGAAGCTACTGTTTTCCCCTTCCCTGAACACAAGGCAGTTGCACGCACCCTTATTTCGCCTGCATCGGACCGGAAAGATAGCTTGTATACATTCATTATCAGGGTACATTGGGTTCGGGGGTCGAGGGGAAGACCGTAGCTAGTAATTCTTTTCGAACATAATGACAACAGTATCAAAAATCGGGAAAAAATAAATAAATAAATAAAAATTGAACACTCCAGTGCATAGATCATGATAGATGTGGCACTGCTCTTTGATCCGAAAACTGGGTGGGTGGCAATTGCCCTTCTTGTCGCACAGCTCTCCCCTTGATGGTCTTCATCCACTCAACAGAACTATTCAATTCTCTCACAAAAGAGTTCTTCGAAGAAGATCAGCAATGGAACCACGCCAGCGACTGAACTTTTTTAGCGAACCTGAATTCTGAATTAAGCTATTTTTCCCAGGGGGGGGGGAGGGGAAGGGGGGCAGGGAGGGTTGGGGGGGGGGGGGGGGGGGGGGGGGGGGGGGGGGGGGGGGGGGGGGGGGGGTAAGTGAAGATCAAATGATTGCCCAGCTTCATTTTTGACCTTTGATTGTGAAGATCAAATGGTATGGGACTCTGGAATGGGAGTGGGAATGGGAATGGGAATGAGACTGGGACTGGGACTGGGACTGGAACTGGGACTGGGACTGGGACTGGGACTGACTGGGACTGGGACTGGGACTGGGACTGGGAATGGGAATGGGACTGGGAATGGGACTGGGACTGGGACTGGGACTGGGAATGGGAATGGGAATGGGAGTTGGACTGGGACTGGGACTGGGACTGGGACTGACTGGGACTGGGAATGGAAATGGGAATGGGAATGGGACTGGGAATGGGACTGGGAATGGGAATGGGAGTTGGAATGGGAATGGGACTGGGACTGGGACTGGGACTGGGACTGGGAATGAGACTGGGACTGGGACTGGGACTGGGACTGGGACTGGGACTGACGGGGATGGGGACGGGGACGGGGACGGGGATGGGGACGGGGACGGGGACGGGGACGGGGACAGGAACCCCCGTTCCAGCTCTAGATACTGCAACTGTGTTCCAAATTCCAATCGTCTTTTGTTGGAATAGATTGCAAGGAGTTGACAGTGGAACCTGAGTGGAACCTGAGTGAGTCCAGTTACCTCAACTGCAACTGCAACTGCAGCCTTGCAGTAGGCTGAAGGGCGATGCGGGGCCCTTCTTGAGTGGACTAGAAGGGCGATTTTGAGATGACCATTAATCATCATCCTAGTACCGTACCATTGCACCCTGTGTCCTCCATGAGAGTAAAGCCTTGCATGATGTGCTCTATATCTACATGAAATGTGCCTTTTTCTTTTCCTTTTTGTTTTCGTTTTTCTTCTTACCTCAGCTTCAGCATGTTGCAGCTGACTCTTGCATATCTCCAGTTGGGATCTCCTTGACTTCGCGTCTTCTTCCAACTTTGCTTTGCTCTGCCATGACATCAGTCAGCAAGTGGCGTAAGTCAGGCAGGCAGGAGTGTGTGGGTCTGGCCACACAGCTGACGAACCGAGAAAAAGATGAGAGCATCTTCGCACAGATGGTGGCAAGGTACATCCGAGAGACTACGGATAGTAACCGATGTATCTTGCCGCCTTTTCTGGGAAGATGCGCTCACCATTTCCCACGGTTTTTTGGTGAGTAGTGAAGTTCCTTCTGGCATTCTCTGCAGAAACGCTGAGCCCGGTTCTCAGCACGTGATGCACCCCATGAATAGATCGGAGCCTTGGGTTAAAAAATAAATAATAATAATAATAAAATAAATAAATAAGTAAATGAAAAATCCGTAAATGGGGGTGGGGGAAGATGAAAGGGAGGCGCAGGTACGGGCAAAATGCTGAGTCTTTGCGTTAGCCGGACCGCCACTGGCCGCCCTGCCCCATCTCTGACTACCGCCATTGGGGCCGGGGGGCAACATGCAATCCCTTCATTGTCAGGTAGCTATGCTTGCAGGGGTCCCGTCTAGATAGCCTTAGAGGAGGTAGTGGTAGGTAGGTAGCAAAAGGCGGAAAAAAAAAGAAATCTTCACTTGTCATCTCTTCCCTTGCTGAGGTTTCCGAAGGGCTCTTTTTTCTTCTTCTTCTTTTCTTTTTTTCTTTTTTTCTTTTGGGATCGGCATATGGGAACATTTACAAGTGTCCCTTTATGACAAAAGTGGGATCGGCATAACCAACCTCACCTCTTTGTCCTCAAAACTTTCGCTCTTAAGACGGGTGACAAGCTCTTCCAAGGCAGCTTTGTTTGCTTCCAACCCCGACCGCAACGCCATTAGCTCACTGACCTGCAGGCGTCATGCCATCCCCAATCGTGCCAATACATAAACACACATAAACTTGCCTCCCAAACTGAACCCCCTCTTGCTGCACCAATCATGGCAATCTATACATAGTGCCCCTCGAACTCGCTCCTTTTTCTTTTTCTTTTTGTAGGGGGTGGAGAGGCCCACGACGCCTCCCATTGGGGCTGAAGAGGCAGATCCCTTCTCACATGCTCAGATCATAATGGGCCTCGCCACACCACTCTCGAAATGTGAAAAAGACAAAAAATTGGCGGGTGCATCTGGCCATGTTCTAGCGGGAAGTTCATTCTCATTTTGCACATTTTGAGAGTGGTGTGGGGATGCCCAATGAATGTTGTAAAAGGGGGTGCTGGGCCCAATTTCCAGCAGGTGCAGCTCCCCACCAATAGAAATGTTCGAAACGTATCAGGACCCCATTGTCATGCAGAGACATTTCGACTGACCAGATATCTTGAATGTATTGGGACCACCACCAGAACTCGATACATTTAGAGTGTTGGATACGGGAGAGAGCGCTGGTATGACACACATAGTGACCACCGTAAAGAGCGGGAAGTTTGACTGTCGAAGTATTCAGATATCTTCTTGTTGTATCTATGCGCAAGGAAATAAGCAATGCGAACAGCATTGAACCAGGTTGTGACACATGACATATGACAAAAGACCAGGCATCATTGAGCCGAAATTGAAAAAAAAAGAAAAAAAAAAAAGGAAAAAAAAAAAAAAAAAAAAAAAAAAAAAAAAAAAAAAAAAAAAAAAAAAAAAAAAAAAAAGGATGAAACCATTGAACGGCGCAAACCCCATAGTCCTCCGATGACAACTTCACTTTGCAGTGCATAGCGCCCACAAAAAACAAAACCCCCGACGTAGCAAACTACGTACAACAGACGACCCGAGAAGCCTACAGTCTTCCCCCGAATACAACGTACGGTCATTATAGCTGAATTTAGACCGAAAGATACGCCAAATTCAGCTATACTGACCGTACGTTGTATTCGGGGGAAGACTGTAGGGTTTAGGGTTTAAGAGAAGGCGGCAAGGGGCAGAAACCGCAGCACAGATAGGATTTAGAGTACCCGGCAACAAAAAAGCTTTTTGTTGCCTCAACAAAAAGGAGAGGGGGAGGTTAGACGTTAAATCCCGCAGAACTCAGGAAGTAAGCAAGCTCATACAATTTCCTTGTTATGACCGGGTGGAGCTGTGTAGAAACAAACTTTAAGCAAACCCTTGATGCCAGACCCGGACATCAACTCTAGCATTCAGGTGTACTCGACAGCACTCAGCTGAAGAAGAGCTAGAAGCTAGGAGACTCAGAGGATCAGAAGGTAGAAGACACAGGCTAACTTAGGCAGGGGTGAGGGGTGGTACATCCTTCCCGAGGGAAGTAATCAATGCCATCCACTCGGGCCTCTCAGCCATAATGGGGAGGCGCGTGCGCATGTATTCATTGTATTCATATTTGACTTGCTGGGGGAATAGGAACCGGACTGTTGCTCCCCAGAATGGCAGGAGCCAGAACCGACAGGTTCTGTTTTCAAACTTAAAAAAAAAAAAAAAAAAAAAAAAAAAAAAAAAAAAAAAAAAAAAAAACGAAAATCAAAAAAAAAAAAAAAAAGAAGAAGAAGAAGAAGAAGAAGAAGATAAGAACGAGCAAAACACTGGAAGTCTCTTGGTAATGAAAGCCCTTTCCAGCACCTCCAATCACCAGTGCAACAACAATGTAGGGCTATTGGTGGGGAGCTACACCTGCTGGAAAGTGGGTCCATCGTCCCCTGAGATACATCATTGAGTTGGTAAAACAGACAGCACGTACCGGGAACCGGGCCTAGCGTCGAACGTTGGTGATAAATTGATAATACTTCTGATACTCTGATGATGATGATGATGATGATGATGATGATGATGAAGAAGATGAAGATACTAATGATACTGATGATAATGAGCTGATGATGATGATGTTACTTAAAAACTACATCAGCACAACCTGGCCTCACAATCTACAAGCAACTCCTAGCCTCCCCCCCCCCAATACTCCAGAAAAAAAAACTGCCTCCCCCCCCCAATACTCCAGAAAAAAAAACTAACTTCACTGATGATCCGTGGATGTGTTCGGAACCAGGGAGAATCAGGGAGAATCAGGGAGAATCAGGGAGAAACAGGGAGAAACAGGGAGAAACGGGGAGAAACAGGGAGAAGACGGTGAGGTTCTTCCCCCTGAAAGATCGCCATGTGTGGCACATGCATAGATTAGGAGGCAAAACACTCGCAAGTTCTTGCAATCCGCACACGAAAAAGCTACCTACCGGGCTGCGCAAAAAGAAGAAGAAGAAGAAGAAGAAGAAGAAGAAGAAGAAGAAACACATCAAGATGGAGTGGCAGTCAATGCTCGCAGCCAGGACTTCAAAAAAAAAAAAAAAAAAAAAGGGTAGGGGTTGCTCATGGTTTTCTAAATTCCCATGAATACTCTCAGTGATTCTTAATAGTCAAAGCTGGGCAATGGTTCCGGCTCCTTACATGTTTTGTAAAAGTCCTTAATGGGACGCTGGACCCGGTTTCCAGCACGTGCTGCTCCCCACGAATAGATTGGAGCATTTGTTTCAAAAAAAAACAAAAAAACAAAAAAAAGATGGAGTGACAAGCA